CACCATCATCACCACCACCATCACCACCATCACCACCATCATCGCCATCATCACCACCATCATTGCCATCATCACCGCCATCATCACCACCATCATCGCCATCATCACCACCATCATCATCACCACCATCATCATCATCACCACCACCATCAACATCATCACCACCATCACCATCACCACCACCATCACCACCATCGCCATCACCACCACCATCGCCATCACCACCACCATCGCCATCATCACCACCATCGCCATCAACACCATCATCATCGTCACCATCATCATCGTCACCACCACCATCATCATCATCATCACTACCATCATCACCACCATCACCACCATCATCACCATCATCACCACCACCATCACCATCTCCATCACCATCACTATCACCGTCATCATCAAGACCCTGAGATGCTGTGTCCAGGCAGGATTGCAAAGCAGTACAGAGCATGGGCTCTGGACTCAGACTGCCTGGGGCTCTATCCACTCTCTAGCTGTGTAGTCTTGGGCAAGTCTCTGAGCCTCCTTGTCTGTAATATAGTGACAAAGATAGAACCTACGGTCCAGGTTTGTTGGGAGCATTAAGTGACATCGTATGTCGAGGCCTTAGTACAGTGTACCTGGCACACGGCAAGTGCTCAACAAATGGTTACTGTCAGGGGCTGGCCCGGTGGCGTAGTGGTTAAGTTCGCGCACTCTGCTTTGGCAGCCCAGGGTTTGCAGGTTTGAATGCCAGGCATGGACCAACGTGCTGCTCATCAAGCCATGCCGTGGCAGCGTCCCACATACAAAATAGAGGAAGGCGGGCACAGATGTTAGCTCAGAGCCAATCATCCTTAGCAAAAAAAGAAGAAGATTGGCAACAGATGTTAGCTCAGGGCCAATCGTCCTCACACACACACACAAAAAAAAATGGTTACTGTCACAGGGTGAGGGGAGAGCACAAGGCAAGGTGGGTTGGGGCTGGGTGGGGTGTGAGAGGGAGGACAGGCTTGAGCAGAGACATGAAGGAGTGTAGATCCCCATCTGCATTCCCAGAGACAGGGAAGGGTATTGTCTGGCAAAGGAAACAGCATGTGCCAAGGCCCAGAGGCTAAATGGTGAAGTGCTAGATGGGAGCTGAGGCTGGCAAGGGAACAGGGGATGGGACAGAGCCTTTGTCCTGAGGTGATGGGAAGCCATGGGAAGTACTTGAGCAGGAGAGGGGCCTGTCTGGAAGCAGCCAGTGCTGGCTCTGCCTTCAAAAATCCCCAGAGTCGGACCCTATCTCCACACCCCCAGCCCCTACTCTGGTCTGAGCCACCACCATCCCTCGCGTGGACCACGTAGGCTCCTCCCTCGTCTCTCACTTCCACCCTCGCCCCCTACACAGTCTGTGCTCCACTCAGCAGCCAGAGGGATCCTTTCAGATCCCACCACATCCCAGCTCAGAGCCCAGTCCCTCCAGAGGCCCACGGGGTCTCCACGATCAGGCCCCTAATTCTTTTGAACCTAATTCCCTTCCCCTTTCACTCCGCTCCAGCCACATCTGCCTTCTTACTGGTCCTGAAACACGCCAGGGATGTTTCTGCCTCACGGCCTTTGCACCTGCTGCCCCCTGCCTGGCATGCTCATCCCTCAGCCATCCACAGGACTCCTTCCCTCTCCTCCCCAGGTCTCTGCTCAAATGTCACTTCTCAGTGAGGCCTTCCATGACACCTTACCTAAAATGTCACCCCTCCCCCAGCAGACCCTCCATAGCACCTATCACCTTCTAACGTACCATACAACTTTCTTAAATTGAGGTAAAATTCACATAATGTAAAATGAACCATTTTAAGGTGTGCAATTCAGTGACAGTAGTGCATTCACAATGTTGTGTAACCACCCCCTCTAATTAGTTCCAGAACTTTCCATCACCCCAAAAGTTAACCCCTTACCTATTAACAATCACTCCCCACTCCCCCTCCCTCCAGGCCCTGGCACCCACTAATCTGCCTCTGGCTCTGTGGACTTGCCTATTGTGGACATTTCATACAAATGAATCACACAATATGTGGCCTTTTGTGTCTGGCTTCTCTCACTGAGCATCATGTTTTCACGGTCCATCCATGTTGCAGCATCAGACCGCATCATTTACTTTATTTTGGTGGTCCCTCATCAGCTGCCTCCCCCACTGGAACACAGGCTCCATGAAGGCAGGGAATTTTGTCTGCTTTGCACTGATGGGTCTCTGGGGCCTGGCACACAGTAAGCGCTCAATAAATGAATGTCGAATGTTGACTGCATCTAGCCCTGGGGTCCACCTCTCTCTGTCCTGTCTGGGCCTGGTCTCCCCCAAACCGAGGGCTCTGGACCCTCCCCGCCCCCTCTGCCCAACCCCATCCATCCCCCCTCACCTGCAGATCTGGTTGTGCAGGAACCTCCTGTGGTTGGGCCTCCTCTTGGGGGGCCGGGTCCGCCGGGGGTGCAGGGCGCGCAGCATGTGGGCGGCTGCCCCACTCACGAAGGCACACAGCTCCTGGGGGCCGGGCTCGGAGATTCCAGGGGCTGCGGGGGCGCCGGGGTGCATGGCTGGAGTGATCTGGGGTAACTCCCCACAATATTCCTGCTGGTCAGAAAGCAGCCCCCAAGAGGAGAGAAGGGGGCAGCCAGGGCTGGGTGCTCAGGGCTGGGGAGGGGAACGGGAGGAGAGGTGGACTCTGGAGGGTGGGCACTGCCCGGGTCGGGGAGGCCACCCTGGGGATTAGGACAAAGCCTCTCTCCTGTGCCCTCCCTGTCCCTACCTCCCAGGAGCTGGACCCTGAGGTTTGAGGGACCCGTAGGTGGGGGGCTGATATAGGGAGGCGAGAGGGCAGGGAGGGGAGGGGGCTTTCTGTGCGCCCCCCAGGGCCCAATTAGCACATAGTTGGACCTGGGATATGGTGCAGGGCCGCGTAGGTGGGGGGCAGAGACAAGTGCCTGGAGATGGCCAATTAAGGGGACAAAGGCCTCGTTAGGGAGGCGAGGCTAGAAGCCGAGTCAACCGCTGCCGATTAGCGTTGAGGACCCTTAATTGGAGGAGGGGAGGGGGCGGTGGGAGGCTCGGGTGCAGCCTGGGAGGGAAGAGGAGGTGGCACAGGAGCCTCGAGCTGTGGGGCAGACACCCCACACCTGCCCACCCACCTCCAGACACCCCTGCCTGTGTCTCCCTGCCTCCCTCTGCTCAAGGCGCAGCATCCTGGGGAAACTGAGGCTCAGAGAGTGGCTCGCTCATGCCCAAGGGCGCCAGCCAGCAGAAGGGATTGGCTCCCGGGTGGGGGGTGGTTGGCCCCCAAACCCTGCGTTTCATGCCGGAGCAGCGGAGTGAGCAGGGAGGAGGCGAGGGGGACACCTGCAGGCTGGGTTGCTCGGGTGGGGGACGTGAGGGGCTGTGCAGCCTGGCTGTGGCGGGAGGGGGAGAAAACATGAGCATGATTTCCCCCAAGGCCTTTTACTGAGGGACTCGGGGGGCCTGGAGTTTGGGGGAGGCAGAGTGGAGGGGCTGGCTCCCAGGGCTGGCGGTGGGGTCCTCTTGTCTCTGGGCGGGCATTGGCCTGAGTGCAGGGACCCTGGTCTTGGCTGGCGGGAGGGGGTGCCTCAGTGTTGGCTCTGACCTCCACCCTTGGGGTCTACATTGGGAGGCGTATGAGGGTCCGATGGCTGCTGTAACACAACACCACAAACATTTATTAATACCTTAAAAGCACGCACATTTATTCTCCTTGAGCAGTCCAAGACGGGTCCCCTGGGCTGAAATCAAGGTGGTCCTCCTGGAGGCTCCAGGGGAGGATCTGTTCCTGTGCCTCTTCCTGCTTCTCGAGGCCCCTTCCCCCGTCTGCAGGGCCCTCCCTCCAGCGCCGCTTCTGTCATCACAGCCCCTTCTCTGACTCTGACCCTCCTGCCTCCGTCTTATAAGGATTATATTTAGGGCCCCCAGATAACGGAGATCATCTCCGCCTCTCAAGATCCTTAACTCAATCATATCTGCACAGTTCCTTTTGCCCTGTAAGGTGTATGTTCACAGGCTCTGTGGATCAGGACGTCGGCGTTCCTGGGGGGCCATTGTTCCGCCGGCCACAGCAGGGGAAGGGGCGTCCGTGATGCCTCCTTCCGGGCTCCCCTCAAACCCACATTCCTGGGCCAGTGGTTGCAGCTGCTGAGGCTGGGCCTGGGGCTGCCCTGGCGCCCAGCATCTGGACAGAGAGAGACACGACGGAACAGTGGGGACGTTTCCCGGCCCCGGTACCCAGACCCTCAGCCTGACTTGCTGCAACTCGCTGAGCCCTCTCCCTTGGGCACCGACAGGCAGGGACTACTGTCCCTATTTCCTGAAGGAGAAACTGAGGTCAGGGGGCCCGCTCAGCCAGAGTCACAGCGGCAGAGCTGGGCTCGAACCCCCGAGGGGAGAAATAGGAAGGACACTGAGAACTTTCTAAAAGCTCTCATAGTCATTAAATATTAAAGTCTATTCTTTCTAAGTGTCTTTATTATAAATATTCTTTTTTTTTCCCAAATGACACCCTGATAAAATTAGCAGCAACATATTATAAAAGGCTATGGCAGAAGACCACCCCTGGCTGGAGGGAGAGACCATGCGCAGGATTCCTTCTGAAATGAATATGCTTTAACCACACGATGAAGTTAAAGTTCTAGAATACAAAAAAGAATATAAATCCCAGGGCCTCCATTGGGAGATTCTGTGTCCCGATTAAGCCTCAATTCCCTTGGTGGTAAAATTGGGATAAGAAGGCAGCCTGGGTGGTGAGGGGGTGACTGAGGCTCAGGGTCTCGTCCAAGCTCAGGTGGCAAGTAAGTGGCAAAGATGGGATTTGAACTGGAGTCGGCTTCTGCCCCCAGATGGTGCCTCTGCTCGCCAGGCCAGTGCACTGGCCGGCGCACCACAGGCAGAGCCGGCACAGCGGTGGCAGCCCAGAGGACGGGGCAGAGGCCCGGCCAGGCCCAGGACTCAGGGCGGGGGCCACCAGGCAGGCCGCGGCATGGTAGCCACGGGCACTGAGTGTGGCGGCCTGCATGGTGAAGGTATCTGGTGCCAGTGGCTGGCAGAGGTCCAGTTACTCGTGAGCATGTCATGGGCAGCAACCAGTGAGGCCAGCAGGAGCAGTAGGTCGACCAGATGCCCAGAGTCATACTCACTGACTGCTGCCCCTCCCACACCCACTACCATGGTGTGCCATGCCACAGTGGGGGACCAGGCAGCGTGGGCACAGGCGTGGGGGGCGTGGTGTGTCTCTTGGCCTCACTTTTTCAATTTCTGTCTTGACCAGGGCAGGTCCCGTGTGTGTGTGTGTGTGTGTGTGTGTGTGTGTGTGTGTGTGTGTGTGTTGGGGAATGGCCCAGAGGGTTTCCCTCCTGTTGCTCTCAGGCCCAGGGGTGAGGGTCCAGGGTCCCTCGGCAAGGGGGGGGGAAGAGTGGACCCCCAGGTGTCTGGAGGATTGGAAGTCAGGGTCCAGGCCCCAAAGACAGGCACGGGGCCGCCACCATATGGCTGGGGCATGACCTCTGCTAGCTCAGCTCCAGGAGCTGGCTCGCACCCACGCCACCAGGAGCCAAGGGCAACATCCGCTGGCCAGGCAGGGCCTAGAACACACTCAGGGCCACCGACCCTGCAGGCTCTGACCTGGGATGCTCCACCAGGGGGCACCAACATCCCAGGCTGGTGCTGGAGCCGGGCACAGGGTGTGTGGCTGGGACTTTTGGGCCCTTCTCCTCCTGTCTCCGTCATTGATAAGAATCACCCACAGCTGGGGGCTGGCTTTGTCTCATCTTTGTTGAGACCCTTCCAGGTAGTAGAAGATATTCCCCAGGCTCCTTTCCCCTATCCCAGCCCTGGCAATTGGGGAGGGACGTTTAGTCACTTGACAAACATTTATCGAGCGCCTACTTGTGCAGAGACTGAGAGTGCAGTGGTGAGCAAGACAAGCCCAGTCTGTCGGTGTAGGAGTTTGGGAGGGAGACACTTGTAAACAAGAAAATACCAGCTTCAGATGTGCCGTGAAGGTGTTAAGAGGAGGCAGTAAGTTGGAGGCTGGATGGGGGAACGGTGCCCCTTCAGATAGAGAAGTCCTCTCTGAGAAGGAGACAATTGTCCTGCAACCTGACTAGGAGAGGTGGCAGCCAGGAGCTTCCCAGGCAGAGGGCACAGCAGGTACAAAGGCCCTGAGGCAGGAGCAAGCTGGAGTGGAGTGAGAGAGAAGGAGCGATGGGAGGAGGTGAAGTCAGAGAAGTGGACAGGGGCCAGACCCACAGGGCTTTGTAGGCCAGGTAGGAGTTGGGTTACGAGGGCAAGAGTGATGGGAAGCTGTGGACGGTTTGGGGCAGAGGTAGTGCCCAGACCTCAAGGCTATGCCCCAACCTCCTTTGCAGGCCTCACTGCACCTGGGATGTGGAGACCCTGCCCCTAAATTTCCCTCCAATCTGGAGAAGGGGGACACTAGGTGTCAGTGCCAGGCCAAGAGCCCAGACAAGGCTTGTCCCTCCCTGCTTCTACCCTGCTCATCTGCTTCTCTCTCTCACTCAGTCCCAGAGGGACTTTGTTTCCCTTAAAACTTATTGTAAAAATTTACAGAGGGACATTTCCCGGTGTCCCCAGCCTAGAACTCAGAGGAGTCATATTTGCTTCATATCTTTTCTTCTGAGAAGAGGAATGTTATAGGCTAAATTGTGTCCCCCCAGATTCATATGTTGAAATTCTAACCCCCTGTAGCTCAGAATGTGACTGTATTTGGAGACAGGGTCATTAAAGAGGTAATGACATTAAAATGAGGTCATTAGAGTGAGCTCTAATCCAATATGACTGTTGTGCATATAAGAAGAGGAAATTTGGACACAGACAGGTGTGGAGGGAGATCAGGCGAGGACGCAGGGAGAAAGCGGCCGTCTACAAGCCAAGGAGATATACATGTATATATGGAGAGAGACAGACAGAGAGATTACACATATTATATTATTATCATATATATACATATATATATCATATATATATAAAGAGATCTATTATAAGATATTGGCTCATGTGATTATGGAGGCTGAGAAGCCCATGGTCTGCTGTCTGCTGTCTGTGAGCTGGAGACCCAGGAAAGCCAGTGGTGTAGCTCAAAGGCCTGAGAAGCAGAGAGCTGGTGTAGGTTCCAGCCTGGGTCTGAAGTCTGAGAACGAGCAGTGCCGACGGCGAGCGAAGACCAATGTCCCAGATCAAGCAGTCAGGCAGAGAACAAATTCACCCTTCCTCTGTCTTTTTGTGCTATTCAGGCCTCAGTGGGTTGGCTGATGCCCACTCGTATCAGCGAGGGCCATTGGCTTTGTCAGTCTACTGATTCTAGTGCTGTCTCTTCTGGAAACACCCTCAGGGACATACCCAGAAACAGTGTTGAACCAGATATCTGGGCGTCCTGTGGCCTGGTCAAGGTGACACATAAAATTAACCACCGCATTTCCTTCTGATTAACTCAAGGTCAACCAGTTGGGATCTTGACTGCGCCTGTCAGGATCCTGCACCTTTGCCGTATAATGGGATGGATGCCCCTCATATCCACAGGCCCCGCCACCTGAAGAGAAAGCGCTTGTTATCCAAGGCATGGTTCATTGTGGATCATCACAGAGGGCAGTGGCCACTCTTGGGGAGGGGATTCGGTGTGTATCTCTCCTTCTCCACAGTTTTGTACTTCAAACAGAAGGGTCTGTTTTCCCTGTACAGATGGGACCCTGTGTCCTCCTCCAGGGAGTCTGCCCCGGCTCCTCCAGGGTGGGTGAGGAGTCTCCTCTGGCTCCCATGCTCCAGGAAGCCTCCATGGGCTCCTGAGCACACATGTGAGACCCGCTAGATAAGCCTTGGATGGGGGTTGACTCTAGGGTTGGATACACTCCCAGGTAAATCATTTCCAGGTTATAGGAATCACTTCCTGGTTACAGGACTCACTTCCAGGTTACAGGAATCACTTCCTAGTTATGGGAAATTACTTTAACTCCTGGCTCTGTGCCTGGCCAAGAGACTTCAGAGGGCCTTTATTTACCCCCCAGTGAACTGAGGACGACACCCCCTCCATGTGGGGAGACTCGTCAGGACAGGGCAGGCTGGGGCACCTCACGGGAGCCCCAAGATATGTCAGAAAGGAGCATCCTTAGTCTGTGGGAGGAGCAGGCCGGCCCCCTTGGCTCCCTTCCCCTGGGAACCAGCCAACAGCCGTGACCCAGGCGATTCCTCTTGCCTGCCCCCGCCCCCCACCCTTGGTTAAAGTGCATCACTCTTCTCTTTACTCCAGGTGTGTGAAAAAGGATTTTATTCTTAGTCTCCGGCCCCGGGAGTCCTGTCTCTACTCCAGATACCTCCCCGGAGTGTGTGCATATTGGGGGTGGGGGGCAGGTGCTCCAGGCACACCTCCTGCCCCAGCCCCTAATCCTCTCTGCTCTAGTGAGCACAGGCTGTGCCACCACCAAGGTGATGGATTGAGTGACCAAAATCAGAATCAAATGTCCATGCAGCGAAACACCACAGACCCCCGTCCTTCTAGAGGGCAGGGAGGTGGGTTGGAGTATTCGGGCATCTGAGAGCTGGGAGCATTGGTGGAGGCACAGTAAGTGGAACTTGAGCCCCCTCCCCACTCTGTGATTAATGTGGGCAGGGCCTGGACTCTAGCCCTGGCCAGGCCTCCTTGGAGCCGGACGGTCCCAGAAGCCCAGGAGACATCCCCTACTGCCTGTAGTGTGGCTGGCAGGGCTGGGGGGAGTGTGGGGGAAGAGGACAAGGGCCAGGTTCCCCAGCTCCTTCTCCAGGGTTTTCTCTCCCTCAGCTACCAGTGTGGTGGGGCTGCCTTCCTCGGGATGGGGGGCAGACCTTTGCCCATCCTATGTTGGCTGACAGCTCTGGGATGGGGGTAGATGGAGAGGGACGCTCCCGCATGCACCCAGGGCCTGTGGCGCATGAGTGACAGCCTAGGTCCCCAGGAAGGGTTGGGTGGGTCTTAGTCACCCTCAAAGACTGCAGTCCGAACTCTCAGCCTCCTCCCCCCCGGAAGCATGATTCACCTGGCTGGCAGGGTGGGGGCTCTGAGGGACTGGGGCTGGGTGAGATGGCCAGTCTAGTTAGAGGGGGTCAGTTCCCCCAAAAGGCACCTGGGGTGGGGTGGTGTTGGCCAGAAACAAGAATGCCTGGGGCCTGGAGAGGCATATGTCCAGATGTTTGTTTGGTTCCACAGTTGAACCCCAGGAGGCCGTCACTAACCGCGTGCAGCCCTGGACACGCTGGGTCCACCTTTCCTGCTCCTCTTTTGTCCGAGGCACTCAGCAGCACATAGCGTAGGGCATCTCATTTATTACCCCCTTAACCCCTGTAGTTTTGTAAACTCACTGGGACAGGACTTTTCTTGTCCTCCTCTGCTCCCTATTGCTGTGTCCCCAGCTTCTAGAGCAAGGCCTGGGGAGGGGCCTGGGTCCCGACCACAGGGCCTGGCCTGGGCGTCTCTGGTAATTTCCTGTAATCTTATCTGTGTCAGTTTGCTTGTCTGTATGGGGGCCCATGGTGTCCCTTGCAGGGCTATGCAGAGGATTCTACACACAAGGGTTCCATGAGGGGTCCATCTCAGGGATGGACTCGGGGAACAAGCCCTCCCCCCATTTGTGTCCCTGAGATTCCTCCCTGGCCTGGAGAGCCAGCCACAGGGCTGGCCTCAGAGTTGGTGTCCCATTGCTTGCCCCACAGGGCTGTTACTTCTCTTTTGAAAATGAGCCTGTCAAGTCTGCACTACCTTTTTTTTTTTTTTGCCAAAGAGGAGCCAGGCTCAGAGAGTGGGAGCCAGTTGCCGGAGGTCATTAACTTCAAAACCTTTGCTTGCTTCCTGGTTGCAAAGTAGGAGACAGCTAACAAGGGCCGGGGCTAGGGCTCTGCCGCTCCCACCTTCCTTATTACACCTCCCAGCAGGCAGGTAAATGGAGCTGGCTGGGGCTCTGGCTGCACAGAGAACTCCTTTCACTACTTCAGGGACCAAAATGGCCTGAGATGAGCTGAGTGAGCTGGGCGCTGACAGGTAGCCAGCTGGGCAGCACATTCCACATCCACACCCCCACCCAGCGTGGGATCCTCCTTCCATCCGGAGCCAACGTTAGGGGCGGGGCCTGGAGCATTGAAGAGCTCTGCATGCAGGCCGGGACGGACCCCAGGGGGCAGGGCCTCCCAACTCCACCTCTGACGGCTGCAACCCTCCCCTCATCCTTGTCTCCCCCTCTTTACTCCTCCATAGCTCAGAGCTCTGCTCAGCTGTCCCTCCCAGTGCCTTGGGCAGCCTGCTTTCTGGCCAGGGAGGTAAAAGCTGAAGTGAAAGGAACGTTTGGGCTGAGCTGGAAGCCAAGGGTTTTACATGCGTGAATTCGCCGGAGACTTCACAAAGACCCTGCAGCGCAGGAACAGGTCCAGATCGGCTCAGATCACGCCTGAGTTCCAGCCTGCCTCGGGGCCTTGGGAAACCGTATGGGAGGTGGTAAAAATTCACTCATTCAACAGAGCACCACCTGCTTCTGATCAGGCCCCTTGCTGCTTGTTGAGGACACTTGGGTAGCAAAGGCAGGCCCTGTCCCTGCTGTGAGTGCCGCTGAGCATGGAATGGGACCCTACCTAGCATAGGGGGCTTTCCCGGAGTTGAGCAGGTATGGGGTAGGAGAGCCTTCTGGTCTGAGAAACAGCATGTGAAGTGGCCCTCAGGCTGAGGGGGACTGCCTTGGGGCAATGGTTCTCAACCAGGGGACACGCGGTGATGTCTGGAGACAGCTGTCATAGGTGTGGGGGAAGGCAGCGGGTGGAGAGGGAGTGCTGTTGGCCTCTAGTGGGTGGAGGCCAGGGATGCTGCTGACCACCCTCCAATGCACAGGACAGCCCCCACAACAACAATGAACCGGCCCAAATGCCACTAGTGCCGCGGTGGAGAAACCCTGTGTTGGATGACCCGCAGAAAAGTCAGTATGGCTCCGAGGCGGAGGCTGGCGGGAGCTGAGCATGGAAAGGAGAAACAGGGAATCTGGGACAGCTTCGTCTTCCTCGAAGCCCCCAGGCCACGAATGAGGCTCGGGGGTCCCCGGTGCCCTGGGCAGCCCCCGCACAGCAGGGCTCAGGTTCCCGCACAACCGCACACGTGGGCACGCAGCACACGCCCGGGAACTGCGAGCACTTGGGACCTCTGGGGGGCAGGGAGCACTGCGGGCTTCGGTTTTCCCATCGGGGAAATGGGACCCCGGAGGGGCTGGGCATGGGGGTCAGGCCACTAGTGACCACGCCCCTGGTCGGTAAACGCGCAGCCCGAGAGGGTCTCTATTACAGACGAGAAGGAATCGACACTAATAAAGCGGAATGTGCTACCCTGCGTCTCGAACTGGCCTTCCCGGGCCTCGGGCTGACCCCTGCGGCCGCCGCAAGGACCAGGTGCCCGGCATCCGGGGAGAACTACAATTCCCAGGATGCCTCGCGCCGTCAGCGCCGCGCCAGCCGGGGGCCAATGGGAGGGGCGAGGCGGAGCCTCGGCGCAAGTGGCGTGGTGACGTGCCGACGGCGACGTCGGGGTTTGTGTGCGCGAGAGGCCACCGATAAAGGTTGGGTGCCTCGCGCCGGGGGCCGTTGGGAGGGAGCGCGCCCCGCCCCCCTCCCCGGCCCCCACTCCTGCCCCGCTGCTGCCGGGGCCCCGCCTTCCCGTCGGCCCCCGCGGGACGGCCCTGGGTCTCCCCGGCTCGTTACCCCGGTCGGGGCCGCAGGTGAGAGACCGGAGGGGTGGGGGTGGGGGGAGGGACCGGAGGGCGGAGACGTTGGGGAAACGGCGAGCGTGAAACCGGAAGGGATGCCTTAAAGGGAAGGGCGCTGCTTCACCTCCGACTTTTGCCCGCTGGACCGGCTCCGCCCTTTTAAAGGGCTAGCGGCTGTCTTTAGAGGGGCGGGGCAGGTTCTGCAGTTTACATAGAGCTTCCCGCTTTCCGCCACCTAAGAACGGGTTATCTCTTTAAAGGCAGGTGATAGTGTCCCACATATTGAAGGGAAAGCTTCTGATTCCTGGGGGCTTCAAACCAGTCCCCAGTTTAGCTCGACAAAGGTGGAGATGGGTGTGCAGTGGGAGCACCCTCTTAAAGGGGAAGTCGCGCCTGATGGAAGGGTGTGGTCCCGCCTTTTGAAGGGGGTGCGCTTCACTGGATAAGATGGGCCCCGGCTGCTCTACCGCACGGAAGTCTCTTGTTTAAGGCATGCCCGGCCTTCTGAAAGGCTCCTGCAGCTTCCTGGGATCATTAGTCTCTTAGAAGGACCCGCTTACATCTTAAAGGAGATGCTCACCTTTTTAAAGGGAGTCTTTATAGCCTGTCCAAAGGGGATGCCCAGCCTTCGGTCATTCTAGATGCGTTCACTGAGCACTCGCTGTGCCAGGCGTCATTCTAGGCGCCGGGAGGCAACAGTGAATAAGATGCCACTAGCATCTGGCGGGTAGAGGCCAGAGATGCTGCTCAACACCCTACAGTGCACGGACAGCCCCCTGGACACTGGTCCAGCCCCAGATCTCAACAGGGCTGAGGCTGGGAAACCCTGATTATCAAGTAGGTTAGAAAGTGATAAACGCTGTGGAGGGAAAAATAAGCCAGAGAAAGAGATGGAGGAATGTTGGCAGGGGTTGCAGATTTAAGTAGGCTGGGAGGTCAGGAAATGCCTCCCTGAGGTGACACTTCAGCAAAGACTTGGAGGTGAGGGAGGGAGCTCTGTGGACATGGGAGGGAAGGGGGTACCAGGCAGGGGCTGTGCGAGGGCCCCAGGTGGGAGCAGGTGTGCCTGGCCAGGCTGGGTGACTAGAGTGGTGTGAGGGTCGGAGAGGCTCACAGGAGGAGGGACAGGCAGGGGAGGAGGCCATGGGCCCTGGGGAGGTCTGGAGGCTCCTGTACGGGGTTTATCTTCTCCTCTGAAACGGGAGCTGTGGAAGGCTTTGGCAGGTTCCCTTCAGCCTCCGTGCTGGGAACAGACTGGCGGTGGAAATACGGAGATCTGTTAGGAGGCTGCTGCAGCTGCCCAGGAGGGAGATGTTGGTGTCCTGGACAGAGGTCGTAGTGGGGCACCTGGTGAGAAGTCGCCAGACTCCAAGTATGCTCCTGCTGGAACAGAGCAGTCGGCCAAGGGATTGTTCACAGAGAGTGAGAGAGAGAGAGAGGAGGTGAGGAGGCCCCGAGGCTTTGGCCGAGGAAGAATAGAGCTGTCTTCAGGGATGGAGAAGACTATGGGTGAAGGAGGGTTGGTGGGGGCAGAGGGAGAGCAAAAGAAGTGAGTTAGATTTTGGGCGTGTTTAGTTGGAGGTGTCATTAGGCATCCAAACGTCTAGCAGGGGTTTGGAGTTCAAAGGAGAGGTGTCAAGTAGAGGTCAGTTTTGGAGTCATCCCATTTATAGGTTGTGAGAGTGGGTGAGGGCCCCCAGAGAGAGAGCGTGGACGAGGAAGAGGACCAGGGGTTGACAGCCCTGGGCTCCGCTCATCCACAAGTGAGGGAGATGAGAAGGAACCAGCACCGGGAACTGAGATGAGGTGGCAAGTGAGGAGAGTGGTGCCTCAGAGGCCAAGGGGAGGGGTTTAAGGAGGGAGGGACCCACTGCAGGCGGAGCAGAGACTTCAGGGAGTGGGGGGATCTGATTGACAGGGTTTGAGATGGGAAAGAGCATGTATTGATGGCACTTGTGAGCTGCTTTGCAGCAGAGAGAGAAATGAAGCCGTAGTCAGAGGGGGAGGTGGGGTGAAGGCTTTTTGTTGTTTTAAAGATGGGGGACATAGCTTGTGCGGGTGCGCTGGTGGGAATGGTCCAGGAGAGGAGGAAAATTGCTGTAGGTGGGAAGTCAGAGTCCCCGGGCCAGGAGCAGGCCGGTGGGAAGGGGCAGTGCAGGATTCTCGGCCTCAGCCCCTCGGCGTTTGGGACCGGATCATTCTTTGGTGTAGGGGGCTGTCCTGTGCATTGTAGGATGTTGAACAGCGTCCCTGGCCTATACCCACCAGATGCCAGGAGCACGCGCCCCTCCGATCGACAACCAGACAACCGGAACAGTCTCCAGGCGTTGCCAGGTGTGCCTGGCCCGGGGCCCTGTGGTCGGGGGCCTTGGTTGCTCCGTTGAGAGCCACTGGTGTGGTGGTGGCAACGCAGTTCTCTTCTGATTGCTTTCATTCTCTCAGTGACGAGATCAGTGGCAGGGTCACCTGCTAAGAGCAGGAGGGGACAGGACAGAGGTTTGGGGAGAAAAGAAACATGCCAAGAATCACCTGGGGAGTGAATGGACCAGAGAAACGCAGCGAGAGCAGTGCAGAGCGACCGGGAGGGAGCTTGGAGATCCACGGGCATGAATGCAAGGGGAGACCGAGGGGAAGTCAGGACCGGATAGGGGACGGAGGGTGCAGAGCCGGCAGGATCCTAGATCTGGAGTCTGGGGATTTTTGGTTAGGGTGCCAAGAGGGAGTGGGCAAGCACCATGGGTGGTGGTGGAGAGATGCTCACGGGGGCTTTAGTTGGAGTGGAAGGGTTTAGGGGACGGCAGTGGGAGTGGGTGTTGAGGCAGGGTGGAGGATGAGGTCTTTAGAGGGAGAGGGGTTAACGACTGGAAGCCGGGGTGCTGGAGAGCCCCCAGCCTTCTTCAGGGACACTGCCCATCTTTGGAGGGAATGAGCAGAGCCCTAAAGGCAGTGCCTGGCCTCAGGCCTGTCCATCCTCCTGGAGGAGATGGCCAACTTCCTAAGGCAGGTGACCAGCTCCTCCCAGTTCGCCTGGAAGTTTCCATTTTAGCACCTGGCAGTCTCTCATTCCGGGGCAAACCTGGACCACTGGAAGCCCTAGTCCTGAGGGAGGTTCCCTGCAGCGTGGGTGGGCGTTGAGGGGCCCCTGCCTCCTAAGGGGCCGGCGTGTGGGGGTGGGGGTGGGGTTGAGACTGTGCGGTGTGTGCGTGGAGGGGGGAGCGCCTGCCCTCCCCTGACCTGGAATCCCCACCAGGTGTGATGGTCGGCTCCCACGCGGACATGGCGCCGGCCGCGACCGCCGAGGGCACCGCGGAGAAGCCGGGCCCCGCAGCCCCCGCGCCGGCGGCCCAGTACGAGTGCGGGGAGTGCGGCAAGTCGTTCCGGTGGTCGTCGCGGCTCTTGCACCACCAGCGCACGCACACGGGCGAGCGGCCCTACAAGTGCCCCGACTGCCCCAAGGCCTTCAAGGGCTCGTCTGCGCTGCTGTACCACCAGCGGGGCCACACCGGGGAGCGGCCCTACCAGTGCCCCGACTGCCCCAAGGCCTTCAAGCGCTCGTCGCTGCTGCAGATCCACCGCAGCGTGCACACGGGCCTGCGGGCCTTCACCTGCGGCCAGTGCGGCCTGGCCTTCAAGTGGTCCTCGCACTACCAGTACCACCTGCGGCAGCACTCGGGCGAGCGGCCCTACCCCTGCCCCGACTGCCCCAAGGCCTTCAAGAACTCGTCCAGCCTGCGGCGCCACCGGCACGTGCACACTGGCGAGCGGCCCCACGCCTGCGGCGTGTGCGGCAAGAGCTTCACGCAGAGCACCAACCTGCGGCAGCACCAGCGCGTGCACACGGGCGAGCGGCCCTTCCGCTGCCCGCTCTGCCCCAAGACCTTCACGCACTCGTCCAACCTGCTGCTGCACCAGCGCACCCAC